CACACACACACACACACACACACACACACACACACACACACACACACACACGGAAGCCTTCCTCTCCTCCCAGGTGTTTGAGACTTGCAGCTTTCCAAGGGAGCACCCCCTCCTCTGTCTGTCTACTTCCTCCCTCTGTCTATCCATCCCGAACTCCCACCACCACCCTATCTTGCTTTTTCTTGTATGTTTGGGATTGAGGACCTGGGGCTTTATCCATGCTACACACTCGGCGTTCGGCTTACTTTCTGTGTTGGCGGTTCCTGAAACATGAAAGCCAGCTGCGGGCGGACAGAACAGAGCAAGAGCCTAGCCCTAGTCAGTGAAGAGAGGTGAGACTCATCCACAATCTTCTGCTTATGTTTTCTCTCCCTCCAGCAACTACACAATAACATCTCCATTAAATGGAGCAGAATTTGACACAACTCCCTGGTTTATATGAAAATGTCTGTTTTATTTTTTCCCTTAGGTCTCTTTCCAATAAATGAATCCAGGTCCACTTTATTCTCTACAGCTGTGGTAAAACATACTTCATTTTCCTAAGCAAAGCCCTCTTGATGGTATGTCCTCGTTTTCCAGAGTTACCAGCATGGGAGGTACATCTTGGGGGAGGGAATGACTAAGTTCCTAGAATGAGACTTGTGGGTCCGGCCTGATTTTAAGATTTATGTCTCCACCAGCCATTCCCAGAAAAGCTGGCCCCATATGGCATCAGTGTAGCGTAGGGGTCTTGATTGGTTCATTTCTTCTGCCAATTAAAGAATTAAAAGGTAGGAAAATTGGAGATCTCCAGTGCAACAGCGGAGAAATCCCAAACACAGCAGACAGCAACAACAGTGGAAGGTAGATGTTTATTGTGGGTGAGGAAACACACACAAGAGCAGGCGAAAAGAACCCTCTGCAAAGCAAGGGGCGCTCAGTCTGAGAAAGTCAGGAAAAGCCAGTCTCTAAGGTCTCTAAAGTTCCCCACCACCAACACGTTAGGGCTGGTCAGTTTGAAGAAAGACAGGATGGTTGATTGGTTCACAGTTGTGTAACTGTATCCTGATCCAGCCTGGAACTTGTTGAGCCTGTCTATCAGCAGGGGTCCTGCTGGTGGGATACAAAGGCTATCCCCAGCATCCACTAGGAAGTTTAAAAGAGGTCAGTTGGCCACTCAGGGCCTGCCACCTGAGGACTAACCAATGCTAGTGTAGATGCTTAGCTTGGTTTCTAAATCCAGTTTGATACTCTGTTCAAGAGGACCTGCTTTTCAGTTTGCTAATTCTTACTAAGACAAATGCCCTTCCTTCCCTAGGAAGGGCAGACTGTGTGAGGTTATGACATACATACAAACAACCATCCTTTAGTCAGCTGGGAATTGGGTGCTGAGCTGGAGAATGGGTGGCTGACAGGTTTGGAGAGCTATTTTCATGGATAAGACCAGAACTAAGTGAATTCCTCCAGATCCAGATAACTTCTAGGAAGTTCTCTGTCGGAGGGCAGAATTATACAGGAGACCAAGGGTGGGTTTTGTGGGCAGCTCATAAAAAGCAAGAGCAAGGGGGCTGGAGAGATGGCTCAGTGGTTAAGAGCATTGACTGCTTTCCCAGAGGTCCTGAGTTCAATTCCCAGCAACCACATGGTGGCTCACAACCATCTGTAATGGGGTCTGATGCCTTCTTCTGGTGTCTCTGAAGATAGCTGCAATGTACTTATATTTAAAAATAAAAACAAAACCACAAAAAGCAAGCAAACAAACAAACAAAAAAAAAGCAAGGGCAAATAGAAGTCTAGAAAGGAAAGTTGACTTACCCAGAGTCAATGAGCAAGGGTGAAGGCAGAGAAAGCCAGTACAGTAGTAATGACCATGGTACGGTTTCATGTTTGTATGGTATGCTAAGGCCTGTGTTCACTGTGGTCTGGTGGGACATACACTCAGTTTTCACGCTGATTTCTGGCATAGGGCCCTTAAACCTTTCCTACCTTTCTGCCCCACCTACTTCTCTAATGATCTGTGACTTCCTTTCACCCTTTATCCTCGATCACCATGGTATGTGTCTTGCTGATGTACCTATTTTCTCCTCAAGTACCTCTGAGTTTTGGTTGGATGACATTATCACCCTGTAACACCATACCTGAAAAGACTTTTCTGCCTCATGACCTCTGAATGGTTCATGCCCAGAGGAATGCAGCAGTCACATTCCCTGCCCAGGACACGTTCAAACAAGGAAATAAGGCTCCCCTGGCAGGACAGGCTCAGCCAGATCTCATTTCCTTTCTGACAGAGTAAGAAGTTCCAGGGTCTCAGGGGGTAAGTCCAGGTTGGTCTCAGAATCAGTAATCCTCCTGTCTCAGCCTCCTGAGTGCTGAGATACATGCTATGAGTCCCCACATCCACTGTTAGTTTGATCCAGACCTTACAGGTTGCCAAGGCCTGTGTTCACTGTAGTCTGGTGGGACCCACACTTGGTCTATGCCTGGTTTCTGGCATAGGGCCCTTAACACTTTCCTACCTTTCCCAACAAAGCAGGGCTAGAATCTTTTGATCCCACACTCAGCTTCTGCTACAGCTCACGTTCCCTTTGTTCTAGCAAGGTGGCCCCTGGATGGGAATTGGCCATTAGGAAGATAAAATCATGGTGAGAACCTGGGAACTTGCCACCTCCCCAGTGGAATCACCCCGAGTCACCCTGGCTAAACCAACATGTGCACACACTGGAAGGCCAGGTTTTTTAATTCTCTCACTCTGCACCTGAGGTTACAGCCATGCCTGGCTCTTTACATGAATTCTGGAGTTCAAATTCATATTCTCATGCTTGTACAAGCGCTCTTACCCACTGAATAATCTCCCCCAACCCAATAGCCATTATTACCACTTATGATTGAGTCCAGGGTCTCGTACGAGGTGAGTGCTCAGATTTTTGTGATCCTTCTACATCAGCTCTGAGTGGCTAGAATTACAGGCCCAAGCTACCATGCCTGGATGGAACTATCATTTTATAACTATAAATGTATGTTCCCCTGAGTTCTGTTTATCATCCCAGCAAATTAGTTGAAGCTATAGTAAAGATGCTAGGAGGCTACAGCCAGTTGGTCAGGAGCACAGGACACAACCTGCTACTTGCCAATGGTGTTGGAAATAGGGCAATCTTGAGGTTGAGTCCTTAGCCTGTGGCATGCAATTCCAAATCCGGCAGATAATAGAAGCTACACTAGATAGAGGTCATCCTACTGGAAGCGCCTGTTTGGCAGGGAAAAGGTCTGCACACCTGGAGTCAGGGGTGAGAAGATAAAGAAAATACACTGGTTTTTCATCAAGTCTCTAAGAGCCCTGTGTCAGGAGGCCAGTACATCATGTCTGAAGGCCATGTCTAGCCATCTTCCAAGGATGCTGAAGCCAAAGGCCACTAAAGAGTCTTCTAGTAGCGTAGACAACCTAGATAGCGTGGGTGGCTGACACTCGATTTCCTTGCTTCATTCTTAGGACAGCCAGAACAGCCTCTGCGGTCCACTTTGACCTCTCTCAAGGTTACCAACCAGCCTGTGAGAGGCTGTGGTGCCTGACACACGGGATAAAAGAGGACACACCTGCATTATACCGTTTTAAGTGCCTGGTAACAACTAAGATCCTTTTGTAAGAGTCTTGGGGTAATAACGATATGCAAAGAGACACTTTGGGGCTGAAGAGATTGCTCTGTGGTTAAGGCTACACACTGTCAGCCAGGCAGTGGTGGTGCACATCTTTAATCCCAGCACTTGCGAGGCAAAGGCAGGCAGATTTCTGAGTTCGAGGCCAGCTTGGTCTACAGAGTGAGTTCCAGGACAGCCAGGGCTATACAGAGAAACCTTGTCTCGAACCGCCCCTCCCCCCCCCCAAAAAGACTACACACAGTTTTTGCAGAGGACCCAAGTCTGGTTCCCAGCAACCACTTCAGGCCGCTCACACCCTCCTCTAAACCAAGATCAAGAGGATAAGATACTCCCTTACGGCCCCCACAGGTACCCACACCAAGAACCACAGTTAAAAATAAAAACAAATCTTAAGAGAGACGGAGACATTTTTTGCTTTCCTTTAAGGGTTAGACCATTGTGACAATGCATCCCAGAGGACTGGACCGTCCTCAGGAATCTCATGCAGGGAGAAAATGGCTGACGTCAACCAGAGAAGAAATGTGTCCTGGAAAGAGATTTCCTATACTGCTAGCATCTTGTCGAGTGACTTTGCAGGGAGACTGGAGCTGGAGGCAGTGGTGACAGGTGGAAGCATTCCTTGACAAGGACTGTTTTGCAGTGCACAACCCCTACCTTCCACTTAAACCTAAACATATGTTAGGACTGACTCTGAAGACTTGGGGGAGGGGCACTGGACCTCTTAAGTATCCACACTGAATAAATATTCACTTCCTGCTTTTCACTATGACTTGTTTAATTGGCTTATCGAGGACAAGGGGACCTTAGGTTCCAATGCCCCTAACTCTAGTATCACTAGTTTGGAGCCACTGGTTAACAACTTCCCAGCCTGGCAATAAACTCTATATGGGATAATAGCACACAACTTACACTGTGAATACCTTGCACAGATGGCTCTCAGATCCATCCTCAACTATTCTAACATTGGTTGAGAATAGTAGCAGACTGTGGCCCGAGAACTGCTAGGCACAATTTCATTTTGAACTGGAAATAGGTACTATGTTGTTGAGTACCTATGAGGTATTGGTCATTGGTTTAAATGTATCATCTCTTTTAAGCTTAAAATGGTCCCTACATGCTAGTCCACTTACATATAAGAGAAATGAAGGTCCTGCAGGGACACTTCTGACTTCTGGGAGGCACGTGTATCCTGCTGCCCCCCACAACACACACACACACACACACACACACACACACAAAGAAAAGAAACCACAGTTACAAAGATAGGGTCATTTATTCATGTTATATTACTGCATTCCAAAGGCAAAAATACAGATGTCTGTTCTGAACATCAAGATCAGAGACAGCCACCCACCCCCAGCCCCAATGGAAAACACATGTGTACACATGGGATATCAAAATACACGCACAGCGTCACAGGTCTGGAACAGCCCAGTGGGCAGTAGAGACCCTGCCAGGCTAAAGGGCAGCACATTTCCTTTGCCTTTCTGTGCCTCTGGTCTGTCTGAAAGGCCATGCCACACAGGTCACCAAAAAAAATATAGACAGAGAAAGGCACAGCATGTGACCCCAGGGTCAGAATTCCCAGGTGAAGGAAATGTTCCCTGTCCCCTCAATCCTGCAGGCCCCAGTGGCATCTCCTGGGCCAGGCAGATGCCCAGGCCTAACAGTGCCTTGGGCCGGAGGTGCCGAAAGGATGCTGGAAGGGAGGAAATGGGAAGAACAGGCAAGACAATTTCCCTCGGTTCTGAGAATGAGCCATATATTTGACATGAACAAAACCCAACAGGAACAGCATTGAGAAAAGGCAGAGTCTTGCTTTAGGAGAGAAAGAAGCAACACACTCAATGTGTCTGTCTCCCTTCTTTTAAGGCACTTTGGAGAAGCCAGGATTTAGGGACAGAAAAAAAACCTCCTCTCGGTACATCCAGTCTTGGTTTTAATGGCCTCCTAGAGACATGGGGAACCGAGAGAGCACAGATTTTGCACAGCCTGGCTGCTTTGAGGAAAAGAATTTCTAACCCACACATAAAAAAGCTTCTGGAGAAGGCAGCAAGTTAGAGACGGTGGTGCTCAAAGCAATAAAGGCACAGGTAGGATGAAGGCCAGCCAGCCTTTCCTCCTCTATACTCAGGGCTGGAGTTTAGGCTGCCACAAGCAGAAAGGGTTTAGCTCTGGGATTAGATAGCTGATCCTTACAATCCCAACCCAGGCTTCATCTTTGAAGCCCTCTCAGCTTGACAGTCTGAGTGCAGTGCATGTTTCTGGCTATGTCACCGCAGGCACAGCACACCGCCTGCCACAGGTGGGTTTGTGAATGACATCTCATGGGTTAAACTGAGCAGTGGGAGCACCTGCTAAACCCTGAGTGGCAATGAGGGGCTTAGGCACCAGGATTCTCAGGAAGAATGGGGTGTGGGTTCAGGTGAACTCTCTAGGCCTCTAATTAAAAGGCACAATCATGCTGGAGAATGAATAGTCTGACCCTGAGTGCCACAGGAAATTTTAGGGAAGGAAGCAAAGGGGTGAGAAGTGAGAGGAGAGAAGGAAGGAGAAGAACAGGAGAAAAGTAAGAACTGGTAACTTTGGGTGGGTCAGGAAGTGGGGTGCCGAGGCTCAGAGGGATGGTAAACAACCTGACTGCTATGATTTTTCAACCCCACAGCCCAGGGCCATGAGGGGTCAGTTCTAGGAGGCCAAGGGCCTTTCACCTGGCCCACCTGGGGGAGTGGAGGGAGAGTTCTGCCAGGTAAGCAGATGCTGGCTCCCCAAGTTCCTGACCCAGAAGTCTGGCAGGGTAACGCTGACCTGTTCCCTCAGCAGGGGACCTGAAAGTAATTTTGCTCTTTACAAAACCTGGCCTGCCAGCTAAATCAGAGGCTTGTGACCACTACAGCATACATTATTTTTTCCCCTAAAAAATACTCAATCCCTTCCCGACATTTAAAATACCACAATAAAAATACATAGGAAATTCAAGTTTATACAGCATGCCCAGAAAAAGAAAGTCATGACTTAAAATGCTCAATAGCTATTCCAATTTGGATCAATACAAAATCAATCTATAGCATAATCAAAACTTGATTTATTCTTTAAAATACTACAAACTGCTTCTAAAAACAAACACAAAACAAAACAAAAACAACAAAAAAACCTCTTTACATTCAGAAATCAGACAGGGATCTGGAGACAGGCCATGTAAGTGAGAGTGCCTAGGCCCCTGCTCGAAGGGTGAGGCCTTGGAATCCACACTGACAGGACACCAAGTTCCAGGCTCAAGTTTTAAAACTCTTTTGCTAAGAGAAGACACACACACACACACACACACACACACACAGTGATTGCAATAGTTGCATACTAATGGGAGAAAGTAGGAAAGGACAGAACACGAGACTGATTGAAATTTTGATTTTTGTATAAAAAAAAAAATCCAAGACTATCTTGTCAATCTGAATCCAGCAGCAGTCTCAGTTTGTCATGAAGTATGAACGTCACCGATTAAAGCAAAGTTCTTACCCATGTCACAATTTAGCAGTTCCAACAGTGGGAATGTGACCCACAGTCACTAAGTTTTGAACTGTATACAGTTTTGACTCTTTGGGGTTGACATGTCCAAGAAGCCTCTCCAAAGGCTGACCATTTTTACACTGACAAACACCTTGTAGAATTTCACCCAGTGCCGAGCCAGGTTGTGGGTAGACGTTACATTCACCCTGGGCATCTGGAAAGATGTCTGAATAAGGAAGAAGAACTATCATTCAGACGGTACAAATGAGAGGGACCAGCCCAGTCGACTGGCAGAGACACATATCGTAGGTCTCTGGCCATTCTCAGGTCTCTTATTTGTACCCAAATGCTATCTCGGTGTCCCGATGTCCACTGTGATTTTGGTATATAGCGGGTATCTCTGTACGTCCAACACCTGGTAGGTAAGTGAGTTCAAACCATCAAAGCGCATAGTTTCCTTTGTATGTGCGATCCGGTCAAACCTACCAGGAGAAAAGGTGCAAAGGGAATGGGTTAAAACATCAATCTTAAGAAACTGGTCAACATCTGTACTTCCCCAACAGCCCTTTTGCCCAGAGTGGTTACCCCAAATGGAATAAATACCTCTATGTCACTGGAGTTACAGGGCCCTGTGCAAAGCCTGACTTATGTAGCCTGTTCCCTTTAAAGGAGGAAGAAACACAAGAGCACATGGGGCTGGAGGGATGGTACTGTCTGCTCAAGCAGAGGAAACCCACACAATGGATCTCAACTCCAGTGCCAGAAGATCAGAAAACCTCCTCTGACCTCTAAGGGCACCAGGTATGCATACATACATGTAGTGTACATACTTACATGCAGGTCAAACACCCATACACATAAAATAAATCTAACATATAAATAAATAAAAGGAACACATAGAGAGAACATACCTCTGAGGATTGGGCTCATTTTTCTTGTCTCTTGAGTGTCGGATCATGCGACACCTCCCTACTACAGCATTTGGGCGTGATATAGACATGCCTTTATGAACTAATCTGTAAAGAGTTTAAAGGGACAGTCATTACCATAGCCCAGCTACATTATGGACTCACTGGTGGGCCTAAAGGCTGTTTACTAAGCCAAACCCTCACCATCATGCTGGGACATGGCCCAGAAAGTCTTTAGTTAAATTTTAGACTCTTTCCCAATACCCTGAGTTGGCAGAGTCTGCAGTTTGTAGCGCTTGCCTCATTAAAGCCCCAAATCAAAGCACCAAATATCCAGGTTAGAGGTGGACTGGCAGGTGTGGATGAGTTGCGTGTTCCTGGCCATATCTTCCCTGTAGGCTCACCTTAGTGTCTGGCATACAGTAAGGTGCAATAAAGCCTTTATCTCTCTTGGAGAGCTACTCCATCCCTGTACGTACCCCCATCTTTCCAGTCCTTCCCTCAACGCTTTCCCCCTCCCCAACCCTCCTGACCATTTGGGCAAGTCTGTGGTGTACAGCAGTCCAAAGGGCTTGCCCGGGTCAGGTTATGTGGAGGCAGGTGTGTCTGTCTGCACCTTGTGTCGGGGTTCTTAGCATCTTCCCTGCTGGATGGGCCTTGCAGGGCTCTGTATGTAGTAGGCATGCAATAGGTGCATGCTTGATAACCAGTCTGCACACTCTAATATGAAGTTGATGTCAACAGCTTGGAGCTCTGGCAAGTTCTCACACAGTAGTAACCTTGAATGGCATGGATGTTGTTATGACAGACATTTTCTGTTAACTCATCAAATGTATACCAAGTCAGGTAAAAGCTCAGATTGGTTCAGGTTTTTACTACCTCAAACCTACAGGAGACAGGTCTGCCAGTTTTAAAAGTGCTTGTGGGGTATAGACAGGGTAAGACTGGCCACAGCATGAACACAGGCCAGGTGGTTCCACACAGGCTCATTAAACTATTGTCTGTTTTGTTGTTGTTGTTGGTTTTGATACAAGGACTTACTCACTATGTAGCTCTGGCTGTCCTGGAACTCTCTACGTAGACCAGACTGGCATTGAGCTCACAAAAGACCACCCTTCCTCTGCCTCCCAAGTGCTGCGATTAAAGGCATGTATCACCACACCCAGCATTATTATCTTTTTAAAAATGATGCACTTTTTATTTTAGGGGTGTGTGTGTGTGTGTATGTGTGTGTGTCAGAGAGAGAGAGAGAGAGGGAGAGGGAGAGGGAGAGGGAGAGAGAGAGAGAGAGGGAGGGAGGGAGGGAGGGAGGGAGGGAGGGAGAGAGGGAGAGGGAGAGAGAGAGGGAGAGAGAGAGAGAGAGAGAGAGAGAACACATCTGAGTGCAGATGCCTACAGATTCTACTGTAGCTGGTGTTACAGGAAGTTGGGAAACACCCATAAGATGGGTGCTGGGAATAAGACTTGGGTTCCCTACAAAAGCAGTATGTACTCTTACCTGCTAAGCCATCGCTACAGCCCCTACTCTGACTTTCCTTGTTTGTAGTTAAAATAATTCAAAAATAAAACCATGGCACAAAGACTCTGTGGGATGAAACTTGCTTTATAAAAAACAAAACAAAACAAACAAAACAGGACCACAATGAGATGCAAGTCTTTGAAACTGAGACTCTCACATCTGGGGGTTGTCCTGTCCCCACGGCCCACATCACTAGAGCATGCTGGTTCACAGATGCACACACTGTTTACAGCTCTACATGGCTTCTGATGTAAAGCACTCTCCAGCTGGCAGGTGAAAGTGCTTTACACAGCCAGCCGTCTCCTTAGCCAATGCTTTTACATAGGACACAGGTTTGCTTCTTCAGTACAGAAAGCCCACGTAGGGAGCCAAAGTAAACCTGCCCCTCATTTCACTCCCATCTTACATTTTCCAAAGCTCTTCTAAGAATCCCAGAAGCTCATTTTTTCTCAAGACTCTGCTTACCTGAGACCTACAACAGCATAGATCTAAGCCCAGGGGCTGGGTGGGGATTGCCCTCCCTCCTGGGTGCTAATCCTTCCAGAATAATGACTCAAACACTGAAGGAAAACCCAAGAGAAGAAAAAGAAACTGTGAGCATTACCTGTTAAAAATGTCATCATCTTCTCCTCCCCAACCCCAGTAGTTATTAGGAAATCCATTGATGGCAAGAAACTGTTGTTTACTGAGAGCAGAGACACCTCCAAAATACTGAACATAAGGTAGGCTGCAGAGGAAGCACATAGACAGGGGCCATGGTTAGTAAAGTCTCTACCCCATGTAATGGCTGAAACACACCTTTTTTTTTTTTTTTTTGGAGACAGGGTCTATGTAGCCCTGGCTGGCCTAGAATTCACTATGTAGACAAGGCTGACCTGAGACCTGCCTGCCTGTCTCCCAAATTCTGGATGTGGATTAAAGGCGTGATCCACGTGAACATTTCTGAAGTGTCTCCTTAGGCACTGGGAGGAAATCTCCCTAAATGATATAAAAATTAATGATTAATGATATAAAAATTAATTTGCTTTACTTATTTACCATCTTTCTAAATCCAACCCTGAACCAAAATGGTTCCTTTAGCTTTTGATGTTTAATTTGTGTTTTTGTCAGGGTTCAGATTATCTTAGAGACTTACAGATATGTAGAATCTACTTTCTTCCTAAGAGTACAGTACTGAACCTATGGTCATATAGGAAACCAGTCAGTGATGGAAGGCTAAGTCCAATTCTTCCAACTGTGGCTCTGAAATCTACTTTCTATGTACCTTGTTCCTGACAAAACCATCCTTATGCAGGAGGCTCTGCTTACCTCACACCATTCTTCCTTTCTGGAGAGGAAGTTGTATGTGGAGTAAAGGTCTTACTTTGTATCAAGGTTAGCTTTGAACTCACAATTCCCCTGCCTTACTTGGCTTCTCAAGTGCTAAGATTACAGTTACGCACCACAATGCCTGGAACTCAGTCCTACCTCCCATGACACATGTATACACACACACACACACACACACACACAGACTCTCAAGCTCACTTGCCTAGGCTACCCTTGAACACTTGATCCTCCCAACCCCTTCCTCCCAGCTGCTACAATTACAGAGACAGAGCACCTCACTGGTTTGGAAGACTAGTTCTGAAAGACCCCTGGAGTTCTGCTTGAATTAACAATGGATTCAGATTCAGATGATACTACTAAAGGATCAAATTATCCATTTTTGGCACACCTCACACACCTTTTTTGGGAATGATGTCAAATGTATAACTGGAGAATGAACCCATGGCTTCAAGCATGGTAGGTAACTGTTCTATCATTGAGCTATATAGCTATATAGCTCTAACACACACACACACACACACACACACACACACACACACACATCTCTTTAATGTTGGTTAAAACCAAAGGTTGCTGGACTAATAATAGGTCTTGTTAGTCAGAAATAGGTTAGATAGAAATAGGTTTTCTAGAAATAGATTCCTACTCCAGTGGAAGTGTGCACTATCTTGAGTAGATACAGTTTTTTTGCTGTCTCTGTTCCTTTTCTTATCTACCTGCTCTATCTACCAGTCATCAGCAGGGTGTCTGTAAACCATTGTTGGTGTTACGGTAAAGAACTCGGTGGTTACTCGGGCCTCATCATCACACTTCAGGAGAAGAATGAGGAGGGTCAGAGTACAAACCTGTTAAAGGGAAGACACTCAAGAAGAGGGAAGACAAGCGGGTACAGATCGGCTCCTGATGAGTCTAAATGGGATGTTCTGGGTAGGTCCTGAACAGCTCTGACCCTGGGGAGACCTAAGCTCTGTGTGGTCCTATAGCTCTCGTGCCCCCATCAAGGGAAGGGAGGCTGAGAGGCTGAGAACACCTGAGTCTGACAGAGCAGCTGTGTTCACACAAAGGCTGTTTGCACAGGCCAAGTATACTTGCCCCCAGCCTAAACTCAGGGAGCTGCAGCTCAGGTTCCTGAAGCCTCAGGTTTATTTAAGGAGGGAAAAGATAATGCATTTCAAATATGAGTAATCCTTTAATGCAAACAAGGATGGACTGTGAAGTAAAATGCACATCTATTTACTTTATTCTTTTTTATTTAAAGACAGGGTCTTGCTATAAAACTTTGACTGTTCTGGAACTCAGTATATATAGCCAGGCTGACCTCAAACTGTAGAGAGCTACCTGTCTCTGCCTCTAGAGTGTTGGGATTAAAGGTATACACCACTATGCCTGGGCATTTGACTTATAAGGTTCAACAACTGACTATAAGGCCATCTTCCAAACCTGTTAAGGTTTGGTGCACACTGCTGCCCCTGCCTCATCACTAGCACTGTGATACAAAAGTCAGAGCCCCATGTTTGAGCAGGAACACATGCTTTTCTTAGAACAAAGAACCATGTTTCTTTGAAAATGCTGAAGGACATCTGTGGAGATATCCAATCTCTAGAATCAGTGTTTCTCAAACTATGTGGGGCAGAGGGAGACAGAAAGTGAGGAGATGCAGCCACTGTTGGGAGCCTGAACCTAAGAGCCATGCCAAACACTAAGAACTGCTATCAGGATACACAGTAATTATAGGGACTGCTGGACTCTTTTCTCCAGCAAGAAACGACTGTAGACTTTTTAAAAAGCAACCATTTCTCAGAGGTGGTGGTTTCCTGCAGAGCCTAGGGCACTACAGAGGAACTACATTTTCTAGTTCACACCGGAAAACCTATCACATTTGCAGCAGACTCTGGCTGAGCATGTCTTACCTAAACCCGAACTTGTCCATTGCAACAGAAATGTGGCGGGGCTGTGAAAAACACCTGTAGGCATTATGGTCGTCCATCGGAATGAGGTCCACATCGCTGAACACAAAGCAGTTGTAATCGTAGTCCTTCAAGGACTCTTGAAAGCCAATATTGAGCAGCTTAGCTCGATTGAACATGGTGTCTCCAGCCTGATGCAGAAACAAGAAGTGCTATTAGATGTCACAAGACCTTTGAGCAGAACACTCACAAGGATTTGGGTCTGCTACACATGGCCGTCAGGTAACTGTTGGGCTTCAGTTTTCTGCCCTTACTTCACATATCAATCCTGAGTGTCAACCCCCTGAATCAGCAACCTCATTTCCAGGAGTCTGCTCAGCAGAAAGGCTTACATGTGTATGACAAACTGTGAACAATACTGTTCCCTGTAAAGTATGCATCATAGTAGCAGACTGCAAACAGTTACATAAGCATCACTGGGGAAGCAGCTAAACAAGTCGTATGTGTCACATAATGAAAGAGAGTTGCCATAGACAGACAGACAGACAATTATAATGGCCAGGAGTGGTGGCACCCACCTGTAATCTGGCACCCAGGAGCCCAAAGTATGTAGATTATGAGTCTGAGACCAGCCAAGCTCCAGAGCAGTTTGGAATATAGTCAGACTCTTTCAAAGTAAGTTTGAGTGTGTGTATGTGTGTGTGTGTGTGTTCAAGTGCGTGTGCATGGGAACCCATATAGCTCTAAAATAAAAGGTGAAAGGCATTTAAACACATGTCACTTATTATAGACTCCAGCAACAATACTCAGGAAGTAGTGAAAATTGGGTGCCTCTTTACCTCCAATCTGTTCCAGTCTAACTGACATACTGTTGGACTTCTACATGTCTATCGAACCATCAGTTAGCTGCTGAAGGAATGTGGTGACCCTCACTCAATTCTTGCCTTCATAATGCTCACAGTGTATAGCAGGAAGCAGTCAGATACACATGATAGATTTAGAGACAAAGCACCTGCTTTAGGTCTAGCTGATGGCCCAAGTTACCATGCCTGATGGTGGAAAGACTGTTCATGTTTTAATGACTTACCTTGTTTATTCCAGTGTCACCCATAAAAATGTGTCACAAAGACTTACATTTTCATTTTTTAGTCAACTAGTGCCTCACTGTCATCAAATAAAAGTGTAATAGTTGCTGTCTAGCTTGATAGATGGATTGGATGGATGGATGGATGGATGGATGGATGGATGGATGGATGGACAGACAGACTGATGAACAAGTTACAATGTACAATGGTAGATGATGGTGCTTTCTGTAAAGTTCTGACCAAAGCTGCTCCTTGAGGATCACTCTGGGGATGTTGGTTCTTACTGGTTCCTGTGGCCCATGGTGAGCAGAGATGGTCCCAACATGGGCCTGCTGCCCTTTACCCCTAGCAGGTCACAAAGCTCTTCTTGAACATATGCTTGCATTCTAATCTCCTAGAGTGCCATGAAGCAGTGAAGGCCCCACACTTTGGAATCTTCACTTACGAAGAAGGCTTTTTTCCCTGAAACTCTTGGGGATCAAGGGATTGGAGCCTCCACTCTGAGTATCACTGTCCCACAAGGGCCTGTAGCCCATAGATGAGAACGCCTCTCTCGCTGTCCCTGGATGAAAACTGTGGCCCATTCCATGGGCTGTCCATCAGGTAGATAACAGACAAACGAACTACTCAGAAAAAGGGAGGTACCAGGAAGTTAGAAAACAATGACTACATGAAGCAACTACCTAGCACACAGGAGCTCCTTTCTTCAGCTCAATCAAAGCCCTTCAACCATACCGAACAAAAAAGAACACTATGTTCTTTGGCTGCTCTACCATAAGGAGTTGATCTGAAACTCTGAGTTCAACTAATTCCACATAAGGCATGGGGCAAAAAAGTCCACTGAATAGAAAGTGAATAGGAAAACCAAGAGGTTATTAGAACCACTGTTATTGTAACAACATATTGTTAGTGTTCCCCAGGGAATGTTATATACAAGGCACAGAGTAAGTGCTTCTACCTTGTGGTATATGGCTTGATCATCTTGACAGTTTTTAATAGCCATTGTCCCAACCCAAGTTACACTTTGGAACATAAAGCCCCAGAGATCACTTTTCTAGTAAGTGGGATAAATTCCCATAGACTCTAACCCCTAAGGGTATCTCCAAACATACAAGTATGCCCTTTCTCTTAGCATACTCCCAGGATCTGGCGTGGGTGAGGGGACTGGTTTCTGGTGGCCTTCTCTGTACCTTCTCAGGACCTGCTGGCAATGACTGTTTGATCTAAGCATTGCTCAAGACTATGCAGTGTTCACTTTCCAGGAGCTCAATATTTGGAACCATGAACACATACTTTGGGGGCCACAGCCCATAAATAGAAGAAGTACACACACAGTTCCTTCAACTCTGAAAGGACTCTGGCTGTCTGGACCACTTTCAGAACTAGTCAGACAATTTCCAAAATAACCTGAGCTACATTCTCCCTCGTAGGCCTCCTCTAAGTAACGTCATCTGTATGAACCAGGAAGAAGGAAAAATTTGTGGTACCAGTCAGCGGATGTGCTGTGGCCCACTAGGGGCCTGAAATGGGAAGACAGGCCAAATGGATCTTCCTCTTCTTTCCTCAAGACTGCAGAAAAGTAAAGTATTTTTCTGGGTTTCTTTGGGTGAAATGCTTTCCTTTCTTGGTCAGAAAGACAGCATGCAAAGCCAATTATCTTTTTCTAAGATGTACTCCACCTCCTTAGAGATAGAATACACCCTCTTCACAAGCCTCCTTCCCACCCCATCACCATCTATGGCTTCATTCAATTAAATGCAAATTTATCAAGTACCTCATGCCAGACCAGGCCAAATACACAACTGAGACAAGACGGATACTTTCATTCTAGTTTCTCCACTTACTGGCTAAGTGAATGGATGAATTATACTTCTGGCCTCAGTTTCCTGCTTTGTCACAATAGTGCATGAAAGGCCTTAATGCCCTACCTGGTGAAAATTCAGCTACTACCATGATTATGGAAACAGACTTTTCATCCATCTGGAGCTAGTTATCAGACTATCAAAATGCTTGAGTCCTGTGGCTGTTTCCTGACACTCCTGGTGACTCCACCTTCTATACCGTTTGCTCATGGCCTTTCTTACGAACTTCAAGAGTCCCCCTCAATCCCTGCTTCTCTGACAGACAGGGCATTTCTAAACAGGATTAGGCTTAATTCTTAACTGAATTAGCCTGTGGCTCACATGATTAAGCCTCCAGCGGCAGAACAAAGTGAGAGACCTTTAGAGAGTGAGGTGGCGTGTGGGAATGCCCAGTGGAAAGTTTGGGGAGGAGAAGCTTCACACTGAAGCACATACCTCTTTTTAAAAAATGACTCAGCTTTTTGTTGTTGTTGTTTTTTACTTTGGTTTGGGTTGGTTTGGGGTTTTGGTTTTTGTCCGTTTGCGTATTGAGACAAGATCTCACTGTATACACCTGCCTGGCCTCAGAATCACAGAGACTGACTACGGGCACTAAAGTCATGCCCCACCACCATGCCCAGCATGATCCAGTTTTCAAAAGTGGGCTTCTCACATCTCACACTGGTAGACAAGATTTATAGTTATCCCTTCCTAATTTAAGGGGGAAAACAGGCAGAACAAAGAAAAACCCCCAAATAGCTAAAATCTCTAAACGACTGAGGACACAGACAAGAGAGAGACGCACTGGGCTGGGGAAGGAGGCATCGTGTGGGGAAAGATCTGTAAAAACTCTGGAGAAAAGGAAGCGTTTTAGAAACAAGAATTCAACACAGTGGGAGAGGTGGGCTCTCTAGGCCATAGGGAGCCTTAGCCTTATACTACGTTTTGCATGTCAGGAGGGATTTGGTTTCAATCCAGGAAAAGACAGGAGACCAGCTCAATTAGAAAGCTGCTGTATGAGTCATGTAAGACAGGAAAGCCTAGGAAGTAATGGTGGGAAAAATTTTAATTCCTCCTTAAAGGAAGAATTCAAGCCAGAGTTCCTAATGCCCACCTGGCCCTAAGCACGTGTCTTTATGAGAGCCTTTTGGGGGAGGGGGCCAGAACGGGTACCAGAGTCAGAGTCTAGTCTAATCTCCAGGAAAATCCTGAGTCTCAGAAGTTAAGGAGGGCAAAAGTGACTTCCTTTGATTGCAAGAAAGGCCAGAGGACCAGCTAAAGCAAGCCATGTTTCACCCTGTCCAAGTCTCAACAGTCTCTGGAATATTCATTCTGTCCTTCCAGGGATGTGTGCCTACACGTTGTCACCAGCAGACACATCCTGAGACCTAGATGGCCTGAGGACACATCATGCATGCTTCTCCTCCAGCAACAGGCAGCTCAACAACAAAGCTGCTCCCAGGATTCTCTATGAATCAGAATATCAGCGATGGGAGAAATTAGGTTGTTGTCACCCCATTACAAAGTCACTCCTACTCAGGTTAACTTCAAATCCAGGGGCAGGTCTGTAGCCAATGGCACTTGCTGACAACACCCTGAGCGTCTTTCTGTGCCTCCTCAGATGCCAAGAAGACCTCGGCTGAGTGGGTTGTGGGAAGGCAAGGAGAGCTCAGAGCCGAGGAAGCTCGGGCTGGCCATTCCTGCAGGCCGCAGTGTGGATCTTAGAACCGCAGACAGGCTGGAGGTGGTGCCCAGAGGAGTGAGGTGAGAGGCTGGGATTATGCAGAATCTGTGGTGGGCTAATACCTACTCTTCTTTCAGTTCCTAGATGCTGGGGTCTACTTTTTATGCATAATAAGTTGGTGGCCTTGGGCTTAGACACAGTCCCCAAGAAACCTTGAATCTGAGACTTAAGTTTTTTGCCCAGTAAGTAAAAGACACAGGCTCTTCAGAACAAGGGCCCATACTCTTGGGAGGTGTCTTAGTCAGGGTTTCTATTCCTACACAGACATCATGACCAAGAAGCAAATTGGGGAGGAAAGGGTTTATTCAGCTTACACTTCCACAATGTTGTCCATCACCAAAGGAAGTCAGGACTGGAACTCAAGCAGGTCAGGAAGCAGGAGCTGATGCAGAGGCCATGGAGGGATGTTACTTACTGGCTTGCTTCCTCTGACTTGCTCAGCTTGTTTTCTTATAGAACCCAGGACTACCAGCCCAGAATGGGCCCTCTCCCCTTGATCACTAATTGAGAAAATTACAGCT